AAGGAGACCCTTTGTCCCCATTGCTTTTTAACTTGGTTTTTGATGTCTTTTCTAAGATGCTTGCTAAAGCTTTTCAGCACAATTTAATTGATGGCTTACTTCCTCATGTTATCCTGGTGGTGGTGTTAGTCAGCAATATGTAGATGACACCATTCTCTTTTAAATGCTTCTTTGGATCATATTAGGAATTTGAAATGGATCCTTTCTTGTTTTGAGAAGTTGTCTGGGATGAAATTAGTCTCCATAAAAATGACATGCATACTATCCCCGTGGAGGATGACATGACTAATTCTTTGCTCAAATCTTTTGCCACCGGATTGGATCATTTCCTTTTAAGTGCTTGGGTGTTCCTTTGCATTTCAAAAGTTGAGAAAGGAGGATTGTCAACCAAATGTTAATAGGATTATTAAGAATATTTATGGCTGACTTGGTAAGAACTTGTCCTATCAGGGGAAAGTTGATCCTACTCACTACTCCCTCCTCTGAAAAAACTTGTCCTGAACTTGTCCCTCAAATGGATGTATCTAGCACTAACTTGGTGCTAGATACATTCATTTGAGACTTGAGAGACAAGCTTTTTCAGACGGAGGGAGTACTTGCATTGCTAGTATTCCTACCTATCTCATGTCCATGATTAACTTTCCTAAGTGGGTGGTTGAAGCCATTACTTCTCAAATGGTTCATTTGTTTTTGGGGGACATTGGAGAGGATCACAAATACCATCTTGCAAACTGGAGGCTTGTTTCTAGAAAGAAAGATTTGGGGGTCCCTAATCTTAAGGATTTTGACATGGCTTTGCTGGCCTCTTGGAGTAAAGTTTTTCTATAGTCATGCCAGTGATTGGAGGAGGCTATTGAATTTTAAGTATAATACTGATAAACCTAATATTCTTTGGACTAGGCCTCGTATGGACTCTCCTTTTCGGAAAGGTGTTTCCTGGGCTTTTTCTGTTGTTAAAATTTTCTATAGATGGAAACTTGGCAATGGGCAAAATGTTGCCTTCTGGCATGATGTTTGGATGGGTGTGTTCACTCAAGACCAAATCTTAGGACTTGTATGTGACTTGCCAACAACAAGATACAACAGTCGCACATGTTTAGGATGGTTCAGATCTAAAATTGACTTTTAGAAGATGTGTTAGTGAGCAAATTCTCAGTAGCTTGTTTGAGTTGCTTTCTCTCATGAAACCAATTGTTCTACGGAAATGTTAACGCCCACACGTGTGGGCGTTTGCATCTCGCCCACACGTGTGAATCCGCGTCCGTTCGTGAGCGCACGGATCTTGGCATGTTTTTAGTGCCACGTAGGACTGGTCTGGTGTGTGGGCGTTCACCCGGTCGTCCACACGGTCGTTTCACCACACGGGAGGGACTGATGTGTGGGCGTTCAGCAGTTCGCCCACACGCCACTTTCCACGCACGCACAAGGGCTAGTGTGTGGGCGTTTGCCATCTCGCCCACACGCCCGTCCCTCTCCCACACCCAAGCTGCTAGTTGCCACATGTTTTGCAGCGCACATGGCAACTGCCCTAGTGTGCTTTATAAGCAGGTGACAACTCTCTTTTTACCCGAGTTGCCATGTGTTTTGCACGGTACACGGCAACTGCCTAGTGTGCACGTAAGCAGATGGCAACTCTCTCTTTATCGAGTTGCCATGTGTTTTTGCATGGTACATGGCAACTGCCCTAACGTGCACGTAAGCAGATGGTAACTCTTCCTTTTTACATGGCAACTGCCCTAGCATGCTTGTGAGCACATGGCAACCCTCTCAACTGCCTAGTGGTAGTATGTGGCAACTCCTAAAATTTTGAAATCATGGCAACTACAGTAGACCAAACCATACATGGCAACTGCAGTTGAGCAACCATGGCAACTGCAGTTGTCCGACATGGCAACCGTAGTTTAGCAACATGGCAACTGCAGTTAAACGAACATGGACGAGGGTCTGGACCATGACAACTGCGGGCGCGCGGTGATTGTCACGCGTGGCGTGCGGAACCAGGAGGTACGAGGCCTGACATACGGGTCGTGTGGGCGTTATCTACTTCGCCCACACACACGCATGTGAGAGGGACCGAGAGGGAAAAAAGAGATGTGTGGGCATTACTTGTTTCGCCCACACGTAGGTGTGTGGGCTGTTTTTCTTATACTCCATACAAAATGTGTGGGCAGTCTTCCTAACGCCCACACGTGTGGCACTTAGCGGCGTCCTTGTTTTATCTTAAATATTGCATTTGGAAAATTAAAACCCCTCCAAATATTCATGTTTTTCTGTGGCTCGTTTTACATAATAAGAGTCTTACTAGAGATAATTTGGCTAACGGCGGCAATGTGGTTGATCCTACTTGTGTATTTTGTAATGAAACGGAAAGTATTCAACATCTGTTCTTTGATTGCGTTGTTGCAAAAAAAAAAAAAAAACTGGAATGGTGGCTGATATACTTGGCATCCCAAGCCCTTGCTCTTTTTATGACTTGGCTGTCTACTGGATAAAAAGAAACATGCTATAGTAATTTTTTTTGCGGGTGAAACATGCTATAGTTGTTAACATGATCACATCTGCTACCTTCTGGTTGCTACGCAACGATTTTTTTTTTCAACGTCGAACTTGGCGAGAGTTATGGTTCATCAGTGGAAGGTGCTCTGTGCAGATGCTCAAGCTGCCTGCTCCTCAGATGCTTGCGCCTACTCGATCATCATCGGAGGGAGCTGCTTGGGATTGCTTGGAGATGATCAATGTCTGGGTTGTTTAGTGGGGTGATGGTAGGTTCCCTCTGGTTCCGATCTATTGTAGTAGCTGCCTACCCTGTCCTGTTATGCACCCTTTTGAATTGATGTTTGAACGTTGGTGGTGGTGGCTATTTGCCTGGGAAGTGCATGGATGAATCCGGGTATATATGAACCCACTTTGGAAAACACATTTTAAAATACCAAAAAAATCTGAAAAAAAGTGCGCGAAGACATCTTCATATTCTGTGTGTGTGCAGAAAGTTTCACGGAAAACATCTTTTTTTTAGCCCGTGCAAAAAAGACAAAATATTGTGCCGCGAAACGCTATTTAGAAGCAGTAAAATTTGTTCTTTTTTACGGAGACAAAATAAAATACTTTTGTTCCACATAACTTTGTGCCGCGGACATACTTTTGCGAACATGTATGCACAAAATTTTGTTTAGAATGTTTGGACATTACAAAACGTGTTAAAAGTACATTTTTGAAAAGCGGGTTCGTATGTACCTGTGTGCAGGACGTGCTGACTTCTATTTGCCTCTGCTTTTCAATAGAAAGTCGAGGGCAGGGGGAAACCCCTTTGGTTCAAAATGAAACAAAATTGGACGGTCGGAGTTGGATTGGTTCCACCAGATGAACGCTGCTCGTTGAGAGAAAAGCCACGGTCGCTTGCAAATTCACTGGCAGCTGATGGTCAAAGTTCTCACGCACGCGAGCTTCGGAGAAAAACCAGCGAGTTCCCCTGGATGATGCCAGGCTACACCCACACCCTGATTAACGACGGTCCTCCTAAACCCTGAACGGCCTGCGCCGCGCGCTGCGCCCACTGGAGAATCGTACAGCGCACAACGAAAGCTACTGGTGCATGGTGTCGCCAAAAACTTCGGCCAGATGTGCTACCAGTTTGCTCGGAGATTCTCCAGCTCTGCTCTAACTGAAGTGTCGGCTCAGCTTTGCCGTCCATCAAAAGATGAACAAAGGACGACTGAGCAGCGAGCAATGGTTCAAAGAGTAAAGCAGTTTACTGTTACACTATCAGGACATAAGGCATGATTATCCATCTCATCTAATGAAATCTGAACTCAACCTGATCGTGGTTCATGCCCTCAGACACACGAGTACCTCAAGAATGCCATGACAAAAATGAAAAGGACCAAGACAATCACCACACCAGTGAAGAGAGAACTCGGGGCCTCTTTAACTCGCAGGATTCTAAAAAAAAAACAGGAATGGGGAAAACACCAGCAATGACTAAGATAATCACCGGTATCAAACACCAGTGAGAAGAAAAAACTAAGGCAAGGGGGGACACCAAAACGCAGAAGTGCAGAATACAAGCTCACCAACATAGAAACGCATAACATCCGCACAACAGCATATATAGACATTGAACATGTGTAGAGATCACAATAAACAAAGGTTTCCATCAGGTGTATTTCAGACTATTCCCATCCCGAGAACGAGAAAGCATCGACTTCAGAATATCCCCTTTTCAAAGAATGTGTTCTGTGATGAAAGCACTAGCGAATCATGTTAAAGCTAAACCCCTACTTTTGACCCACAACTATAACAACCACAGGACAACATCATTCCTATTCAATTCAAGCCAAATTGGCATGCCTTACATAATGGATGGTAGGAGCAACATCTGGCAAACTTTACAGCATATATAAACAACATTCTCACTATAAGAGCTTGCTTAAATATAACACGCCGCTTAAATCTAACAGGCCCTGAAGCATGCACAGTAACAGATTGTTCCTCAACTACAATTACAAGATTATTAAGGTGAGTACACAACTGGAAATGCCAATCAATCAAGAAACCAAAAAGAAGACACTGCAACTCTAATTAATTAAGCAGAATGACTTGACCTAGCATGGTCACAAAATTATGCAACTCTATGCTGCAAACAATGCGTAAGACGCTAGCACCCAATTTTGACGAGCCTGCAGATGATGTGATTTAAAAGGCCCAGCACAAAGGAGGGATATGTGAACACAGCATTCAAAACGAGGATGCAAGAACCCTGATTTGACACAACCAAATAGCATATAAACCACAAGTTAGCACCTAAGAATCCCAAAATACAATGATCCATGAACAATAACAAGGAGAAGACCATCACTCCATGTTCTATGCCTAATTTTGATGGAGGCAACTGCAACCTTGTCCAGGGAAGTAAGTAATTAACCACATATAGTCTATCTAGAAACAAAAAGAGTGATTTCCCCCTTCCAACAGTTTACCAATCACTATCGATCAGCCATTATTCAGTCAGCACTCTCAAGGGCATCGAGCACCATCCTCACCGTCTCCTTCATCAGGTCCATCCTACGCAGCTGCTGTCTGATCTCCATCAACCTAAACCTCCTCAGCTTTTCCTCAATGGCTCGCACTTTTGATCCTTCGAGCACCTCAAATGCCTTCTTGAATGCCGCACCACTCGGATGCTCCTTGGACAGCTCCTCGACAGTCTCCCACAGGTAGGGATATGCATCCTTTCCCTTCTCAAGCCCGCTTTTCCCTCTGCCATTGGCATTGACAGCCCCAAGTCCAATTCCATTGCCATTTGCCGCTGTAATCGGCCTCACCTTCCGGTTCTTGATGTGGTAACGGTCATCCCTCTGACTCTCCATATCATCATCACTATCTCCACTGTATTGCAATTCATCACTATCACCACCACCATAATTCTCATACCCACTGCCTCCTCCATCACCACCACCACTACCAACCAACCCCCAAACCTTCTTGGCATGCTCATAGATGCTGCGGTCATGCGGAGTGTGCAATTCCTGCTCCCGTCCATTCTTGGCACGGGTGGCAAGCAACTGGTACTTCTGCTTGAGGCGCCGGACCTTATCACTGAGCTGCGTGGTGGATACCCTAACACTGAGCTGGGCACGGATGTGGCTGTGGAGCTTACCGATGTCATTGGTGGAACCAGGGAGCACGCCGCTCTTGGCGCGGTATGTGGCGAGGCCGCGCAGGATGAGAAGCTCGTCGCCATGGCTCCAGAGCCGCGACGGGCGCTTCAGCGGGTCCGGAGAGGGAGCTGATATGGCGGCGCTGCGGGGGCGCTTGACGCGCGGCTCGGAGGCAGAGGCGCTGCCGCGGGGCGGCGAGTCCATGGGGCGGGAGCTGATGGGCTTGATGATGGAGGCCTCGGCGCGGGGGCGGCGCGCGGAGCGGAGCGGCGAGACGTTGTCGTCTTCAGAGTCGGCGCCGGCGGCCGGGTCGAGGTCGGCGTCGGAGGCCGCGGGCGCGGCGGAGTCCTCGGAGTCGGAGTTGATGCCGGGGGAGCGCGCCCTGGGCTTGCCGCCGGGCTTGGGCGACGAGGCGGCGGCCTTGGGGGCGAGGCGGCGGTCGGCCTCGGCGTCAGAGTCCTCGGAGTTGTAGGAGTCGGAGTTGATGCCGGGGGAGCGCGCCCTGGGCTTGCCGCCGGGCTTGGGCGACGAGGCGGCGGGCTTGGGGGCGGGGCGGCGGTGCGCCTCGGCGTCGGAGTCGTAGGTGCCCCCGGAGTCGGATCCGGCGGCGGCGGAGTCGGCCGCCACGGAGGGGGTGGAGGAGGGCGCGGCGGCGGACGACTTAGGGTTAGGGTTGGGCGGCGGGGTCTTGGAGGGGTCGGTGTCGGAGGGGGGGTCGTCGCGGTCGCGGTGGCGGTGGCCCGCGTCGCCCTCCGCGTCGGAGGCGTCGGACGGGGACCCCCACGCCGTGGCGGCGGAGCGCTTGGGTGCCATGCGGCGGGGCGGGGCGGCGAGGTCTGGCCTGGGGCGCTCTCGCCTCGTGTCCCTCGCGTCGCGCTGGGGGTCTGCGCTGCGCTGTGGTGTGGTGTGCTGTGCTCTGCTGCTAACCCACCCGGCGGCCCTTGGGTAACCTGTATCCGCATCGGTGCCGATATTTTAAGAGGCAGGGCGCGGCGCGGCGCGGCGCGGTGCGTGCGATCGAGTCGTTGGGTGCGGGTGGGCGTGCTTGATTGGCATGCGCCACGCCCACGGTGGGTGGGTGGGTGGGTGCCGTGCCGGCGTTCCGTGCGGTGCGCAATGCCAATGCCAATGCCTGTCCGCGGCATGCGGCGGCCAGCACACCAATTACTGACCCAGAAGGATTCGCCGTCTCGTGGCGAAACAGTCGGCGCGACCGGGCGGTGCTCGCTCCGGCGGGGTGTCTACCAGGCCCGTTCTCTTTTGACTCGGGTCAGACTGGTTCAAGTTTGGCTAGGTTATGCAACAGCATGATGTGAGTTCAGTTTAGGGCGTCACTTTTCTTCTCGAAGGCATTGTCGCGGATCTTTCACACATTGACCATATGTGCTCTCGAGGTGAAAGCCTCATATCCAGCTTCTGGACTGGACGAGACGACGTCCTCGGCGTCGTAACCTCCTTGGTCCATCGTCTTGAAGCCTCTGATCATGTCTTGCTTGTTTGACGTTTCGATTGGAGTGTGGTGGCCGGTTTAAGGTCCATGGTTGCATTTGACTGTGCGGGGGTGATGGTGTTTGCTTCTAGTTTTCTTTTTTATCATCGGGTGTTCCCCCGTTGAGATGTGCGCATTGGTATTGCCATTCGATCGAGTTTGCGAAAGAGCTTGGTGCTCTCATATGAAGTCGGGTTAGCGAGATTGTGTTCCACGTTGGATCCCCTCGTCCATATGAACACTCCTCCTCCTTGAGGATATTGTCAGGTGGCACCAGATGACCAATCTCAAGCCTTTGCCTTGCTTAGTGAGATGAAGATGAAAGTTGAAGCCCTCCGTGGTGGTTGTGTCAATGAGATCCGTGATTGCAAGCGACGACTCTTTCCATCCTTGTAACTCTCTTGTTGTTTCTTTCTTTTTTGGCGTGGTCTGTAATCATTACATCTTGTATTCCCTATAATTTTCTACTGGTTCTCCTCCATAATAGGTTACTACATTTTGTCCCAAAGAAAAGATGTGAGGTGGGGTTAAAATCGTACGGATGTATGATATTTTTTTAAAAAAGGGGGTACCCCCTCCCATTTTCATTTCTAAAAATTGATAACAGAATCATCTACCAAGTGTCAGTTGAGGCATCAACCCCAACATCATATAACATGTTTACAAACACCCTTCTAAGAACACGAGACATCTACCCATCAGAAACTAAACCTTATTATAGGACCACATGATCAAAGAATAGAAGTTATTAAAGTAAAGCAGACTACAAACTACAAATATTGTCTGAAACAACAACATATCTCGAGGGGTCATTACCCAGCAATCATGAGCACCACACGCGCCCAACCTCTCCTTTTGCTAAAGATATCAGCAGCCACCCGAAACATTAGTCTTGCCCCTTTGTCTTGTGCCTCTAGTAGTTATCGTCTTTGTAATAGTTTCCAAAACTCTAGTCAATGTGTAGATTGTGTAATAATACTCGACGGATTATAAGGATATATATGTTGTCAAAGCAAGCTCTATTTTTGGATTTCCACAAAGCCCAATAACAACAACCACCCCTACTGCTACCAAGCCCCTAACTTTCCTAGGGAATTCAACAATCTAGCCATGTAAATCTTGTACGGAATCAACATTCATATATATACCAAAGCAAATTTTATGACACTCCAAGCATACCTAGCCAAAGAGCAATGCAAACATAGCTGATTGACTATTTCATTTGCACTGCAAAATCTACACTTCTCACTACCAGTCCACCCCCTTTTTAACAAGTTGTTCTTAGTGAGTATGCTATCTTTGAACATCAACCATGAGAAAACATTAATTTGTTCAGAGGAATTTTGATAAACCATAATTTCTTAAAAGGGCAATCCTCTTGAAGTGCTTTAGCATATTATACATAGATTTAACAGTATTTTCTTCTGATCCGGTAAGCTTCCATTTAACTCTATCACTATCATCATTAAGTCGAACATCTTTACAAATAGCTTGTAATCTAATCCAACTATTCAGCAAAGCACCTCTCAAATTTCTCCTAAATTTAATACTTTCCCAACCAGGATTGAAAATGTAGCCACTAAAATATTACAACTAGTCGTTACACTATAATCTAGGAAATCTGTCATAAAGAGGTTTATGTACTACCCAATAATCTTCTCAAAACCTACTATTTATACCATTTCCTACACTTTTGCTACAGAACTTGTAGAAAATATCTCTCCGGTTTAAAATACTATGCATAAATTGAGATTGTCCGGGTACATGGCTTAGAAACTCTTTACTGCAATACTTCTTTTTAATAACCTCCTGCCACATCCCCTCACTTTTCCAAGTTTCCATAGCCATTTACTTAAATGGAAATGTTCATTACTTTTAGGTCAACTATGCCTGGACCTCCCTAATCCACTGGCTTACAAACATCAGACTTCTTAACTAGATTATACTTATCAGTATTATCATCTTCCTACCAAAATAATCACCTCATATAAAACTCTAACGTGTGCAAATGAGCCTTCGGCATAATGAACATGGACATCATAAACTAAGGAATGTTAGTTAAAATAGATAAATTTAACTTTCCCCCATAATCCATAAATCTTCCTTGTCGAGTACCTAATCTCTTCTCTACCTTCCCCTCACCAGGATTACATTCACTATTCCTCAACTTTACATTATGCAATGGAATTCCTAAATACTTAGTAGATAAATCCCTACAAACATAAGTAAAAATATCCATGTAAATTAGTTCATTATCCTTAACTTCACCAAAACAACAAATTTCACTTTTATCATAATTAATCTTAAGACCATAAATAAGTACAGGCATGCAAAGAATACTTTTTTATATTTTGCACTATCAAAATCAGCATCAAACATAAGAGATATTATCATCAAGATATTATAACATATTAAACCCCCCCCCCCATCAATTAGATTAGTAAATACACCTCTAATAAGCTATTGAAATTTAGCTCTACTCACTAGCTCTTGTAGAACATCAATCACAGTATTAAACAATATGAGAGACAAAGGATCTCGTTGTCTTAAACATCTACCAATTTTGAAGTAACTATCAGTCTGACCATTAACCATTACAACTACACTACCACTTAGCATTATTTATTTAATCCAATCTATATATTCCAACGAGAAACCTTTCATGTCCAGAACATCAAACATAAAACTCCCAATTACTTTTATCATAAGCTTTCTCAAAAAAAGTTAAATAGAACAACATTGTGTTTTTTCTTGTGAATCTCATGCAACACCACTACTCCTTCTAAGATAAACCTATCTTTATAACGGTTGTCTGAATAGGGACAACTATTTTAGCAGCTAATATAGCATTTCTATTATTAACCACATTAGTAATTAATTTCACACTCACATTAGTCGTACAAATAGGCTTGAACATTGTAAGCATACCAGCCAGGGCATTTAGGAACTAAAGCTATTACTCCATAATTCAATCTAGCTAAGTTAATTCTTCTATAAAAACCATCAAACAAATGTAACAAACCTCCTCCTAAAAGTTGCCAAAGATATTGATAAAAATTTGTTGGAAGTCCATCGAGACCAGAAGACTTATTATGCTTCATGTGGAATAAAGCCACTTTGATCTTATCTGAAGTAAAAGCATAAACCAAGATATGTGTATCATGAATCATCTAACGCACAAGGTACAAGATCATCTAAATGAATAAGAGTACTATTGTATCCTGACCAAAAAGAAAAATACTATTATATCCCTAAAAATATCCTGACCAAGAAGAGATTTGTAAAACTTAGTGGCATATCTAAGTAAATTCACATCCCCTTCAATGGCTCTATTACCCTCTTTGAGAGAAACAATAAAGTTGTTGCTCTTTCGACCATTGACTTTAGCCATAAAATAAGCAATATGAGCATTCCCCAGTAATAAATCGTGTTATTTAGCGATGTGGATCCACTTAATATCATATTCTTGGAAATATGCCCTAGAGGCAATAACATTTGTATTATTATATTTCCATATTCATAGTTAAGAGTTTACATTCTATGTTATAACTGCTATGATCCATGAATATGCGATTTAGTGGAAAACTCATATGAACGTGTGGAATGATAAAAATTTAAACTCATATGCATGTGTTGAATGATTTGTAGGACGAAAGTGATGATGATACATTTTTGGAATTGTTCCTATAGGATCCGGAAGCGTTTTGGGGTCAGTGGAAGGGTTTCGGTGAATATCGAGTAATACCGGGTATTACTGATATATTATATATAGGTGGAAAATGTTTCCGGAGATGTTAATATATATAGCGGTCTAGAAGTATTTAGTACATTTTATATTTAATTTAAATATCAACGGGCCTTAAAAAGGCCAAGAGGTGGAAGCCAGCTTGGGCCACAAAGGCCCAAGTGCAGGAGGCACCCACCTTTCCGGGGGGGGGATCCTACTAGGGATGGAGTCCAACTACTCCCCCCTTTGGATGGCGTCCCAAGGGGTTTTTCCCTCCTTGGTGGCAGCCCTTCTCTCCCCCCTGTAACATATATATATACTTGAGGTATTGGCCACAATTGAACACACAAGTTTTGGAGCCTCCTCTAGTTCTACTAGTTCATGTTCTAGTTGGTCCTAGTTGACTAATTAGAGCATGGCTAATACTCTTGTCCTCATAATTAGAAACTATTGGTGCAATATCTGCCTTCCTATGTTTTGGATATTGTTGACAGAAACATGTATGGACTAATTTGTTTACTAGTGCATACCGAGAGAAAAAGTCCATACAGAAACCAAAGAGAATGCTATCTTTGGTGTCAAGTTCCAGGAACTTCA